AGAGGAACCGTGCGCGGCCCCAGCCACCCCGCCCTCCCCTCTGCCGTGGGATGCGGGGATTTGGGACGGCTGAAGGACTCGGGGCCCCAACCGCCGCAGCGCTGCTGCCCGCATCCGGCAGCACGACCCTAATCCCCCCGAGCCCTCCAGCGCTGCTCCCGGTGCCCCACGGGGCTGAGGTGGGCTGTGGGTACGGAGGCGGTGGGGGAGATACGGGGGGATGTGGGAGTTTAGGGGCTGTGGGGGCTGCAGAGGGGCTGTGGGGTAATATGGGGTATGGGGGGGGGTATAGGGTAATGTGGGGTGTAAGGGGATGTGGGGGGATATCGGGGGATGTGGGGTGTAGGTAGCTGTGAGGGGAATGTTGGGGAATATGGGGTTGGGGGGGCTATTGGGTGCTATAGGGGGCTTTAGAGGGGCTGTAGAGGGATATAGGGCTGTGTGGGTTATAGGAGGATATGGGGCTGTAGGGCTCTGGGGGGCCTTCGGGGGTGGATATAGGGGTATGTGGGGCTATAGGGTGCTTTATTGTGGCTACAGAGGAGATTTGGGGCTATAGAAAGCTGTGGGGACTATAGAAGAGGTATAGGGGGATATGGGAGAAGAGGGGACTATGCGGGGGATATAAGGGGATATGGGGCTATAAGGCACTGGGGGGCTTTAGGGAGGGTTTTGGGGCTCTAGGGGGATATAGGGTGCTATGAGGCTATAGGGAGCTGGGGGGACATGGGACTGTAGAGGGCTATTTGGGGAGCTACACAGTTCTGCGGGGAGACCATAAGGGGCTCTGGATGGGCTATAAAAGTGTTATAGGGGGATATGGGAGTATAGGGGGCTTTATTGTGGCTCTAGGGAGATATGGGGCTATAGGAAAATGGGGGGACTATAGATGGATTATAAGGGGATATGGGGGGATATAGAAGACTGGGGGACTCTGGAGGGAGGATATAGTTCCGATGTTGGGGGGCTATATGGAGCTATTGGGGAAGTTATACAGCTCTGTGGGGAGCCTATAAGGGGTAGTGGGAAGGCTGTAGGAGAGTTCTAGTGGGATATG